ACTTGCATAAAGAAGAAGAAGAAAAAAATCAATTATCCTTTGTTCATGCTATTTTCAAGTACAGGTGAAATGATGTTTTTGAAAAAAATAATTCCATATAAACAGTTGAAAATTTGTTTTTGTTTCATTGTTTAATCAATTATGTTAGTGGTGTGTGTGATTAAAGAAACCTTAGACTTCTGTTTTAATAATTTCCACTTACAGAATTGTATTCCTTTTTAAAACAAAATTTGGTTAAAGTTAAATTTGTAGGAGTAATAATTTGTTAATCTTATTTAAGGTCAAAATAAACGTTAAAAGTTCGATACAAATTAAATTAAGCATATTGATGGCAGCGGAGCTTTTCGATTCAGTGTTGTTTTTAGCTAATTGTGACTTGTAAACTTCGCTTAAAATCTATACTTCTAGTGCCAGTAAATAATCAAGACACAGTGTTTTGTCGGAATTCTAACAATTTCAACATTAAACACGTTTGCTGCTTTTCAACAAGATACCCTTTGGGAGGCAAATTTTTGTAGACAATTTCTAATGGTTCGGCTTCTGTTTCCGAAAATCCGATCCTTCAAAAACCGCGAAATCAGATGTCGCTTAGATCCACATGGGTAGAGAACAGTTAGAACTTTGCATCGAAGAAAATCGGCCGATCTCTGTGTGACTTTTGGAAACCGCAAACTGATTTTCAAAAGATCCTTCGGAAAACCGGACTTTCGAACCTGTTCAAAAAGTTGGCCTTAAGTATCTGTTTTGTCCGTCTGTTTTGTGCTTTTATAGTTGGATTACTAATTTCGAATTAGTCACAAAACTTGAAAAGTTTTCCTCACAACAAAATGTTTTGGTTAGATATAAAAGTTTTCTCGGTGTAGAAGAGAAAACATCTCGAGCAAATTTCCTTCTTGCATATATGTCCGAAAAATTCAAATCTTGAGCAAAAACAGTCTCTTTTCTGTTCTGTTCACCACCGATCGGTCTGACTGAACTGGATGAACGCTAGGAAAATAAAATTTGATGGATTTAAACAAAAGCGGAACTATTACTTAATTTAATTTGTATCGAACTTTTAACATTTATTTTGACTTTAAATAAGATTAACAAATTATTACTCCTACAAATTTAACTTTAACCAAATTTTGTTTTAAAAAGGAATACAATTCTGTAAGAGGAAATCATTAAAACAGAAGTCTAAGGTTTCTTTAATCACACACACCACTAACATAATTGATTAAACAATGAAACAAAAACAAATTTTCAACTGTTTATATGGAATTATTTTTTTCAAAAACATCATTTCACATGTAGTTGAAAATAGCATGAACAAAGGATAATTGATTTTTTTTCTTCTTCTTCTTTATGCAAGTAAAAATAATGCCGTTTCATTTTCATTGAGAGAGAAAAGTCGTTTCGTTTTCACTGCGACATCCAGCAGTGTGCTTATTTATAAACCAAAGAAACGAAAAAGGAATCTGAGGTAGAGATCAAAATGTCAAAATGGCGTTTTTATATACGCTGAACACATCTAGACGATTCTTCAGCTGCGTTAGTTGAGAGAAAATGTGTTTGTGTGATCGAAGACGGGTTACTTTCAGTCCAGTTTTGTAAGTTTCTAGCCTATCACTTCGTTCGAATGATTGAAAAGGGAAATGGTCGTTGCAGATTTTCTTCTAGCATATTTTTTCTTCCTTTCTCTGTTTTTTTTCTGTCAACAGAACGTATTACTAAAATATATCTTAGGAGGCAAGTAGAAAAGAAAGTTGAAGTGTTATGAATTCTAAATTAAATTGAACTTTACTTGCTATGAGAGAAAGAAATTCAGCACGACTTGGATACGCTCATAAATGGGTCTTAAAAAACATTCAATCGAATAAACAGAGACTTTTAAGGAAAAAATCTTACTTATATAGAAGAAGTATCTTTCTCTTCGAATATTGTAAGCCCTCTAACTCATCACGGTAAAGGATTCAAATGCTGATATTTGAACTAAGTAGAGTAGGTAAGGAGAGGAAGAAATTGAGCTATAAACATTGTACTTTTAAATTAGACAACGAGTTCACTTATATGTAATTAAAAGAAAACTTACAAATGAGAACCAAACATGCAATATGGTCTATCGTAAACGCATTTTCTTTCAACTTTCTCAGCTCTAGAATAGTCTAAACCGGTTCAGCGTATAAAAAAACGTCAATTTGACAACGTTAAACTTTAACTTTCTTTAATGTTAACGTTAAAAGTGACCAACGTCAGACGTTTATGTGACAGTCCTGCCCGTTTGGCTCCTCAGTCCATCTATAATTTGGCAACGCTCTAAGCTTTCGAGCTCAAATTTTTATCACAGAAGTAATTAAAATACTAAAGGCTGACTTTTTATCAATATATATACCAAATCAACCTAATTATAGCATATAGTCGAGCGGGCTTAATGGGAAAATGTTTGTCATGCAATTCGAAGGTACCGTATTCAAGCCTACAAAAACTCAAGATTATTCGTCAACTTTGCTCAAAAGTTAAACATCTCGCGCGTCATACTGTGCGGAAAAAGTACTAATAACAGACAAAAGTAATAAAAAGTAATAAGCAAAATAATATAAATTATTAATTGAAAAAAGTAATAAGTAATAGGATAATAAGATTTATTACTTGTTTCCTGATAATAACTAATAACTTTATTACTTATCACTTGGCAAAGAAGAGTAAGGTGACACGCCTATTATAAACATGACAACCTACGGTGAATTATATAAATAATTAATTATGTTTATGATGACTGGATTTTATTATGTTTCAGTTCACTTTACACATGTGCATCTTTATGTATTGACATAATTCTTAAAAACATTCAAAAATATTCTTTCTACAAGATTTGGTCTGATTCAATTCATTTTGTCAATATCAGAACACTATCACTCAAACTAAATTATTATCACATAAATATATTCTTATTCTCCTCTCTGTTATGTATACGCAGTTTAAGTGTGAACTTGAATAAATTGTATGTAGTGTTAAATAATAAAAAATAAAAATAATAAAAATTTGAGTTCGAAAGCTAAGAGCGTTGCCGAATTATAGGTGGATTGAAGGCGAAACGGGCGTCTCAGCAAAATCGTATCTCCTCCTAGTCATTTCGTCGTATCAGCTTCATTTTTCTTTTCTTTTGAAGCTAAGACTTAGATCTAAAAATTGTTGAGATTGAACATCCAAGTTCACAAAATTTGTTCATGAACAAATCAATAGAAGCTCGATTATTGAATACTCTGAAGTTTACCGTGTGAATACGAAAGCCTCTTAGGTGAAGTTATTATTAGTTCAGCCGAAGACGCATTGATGTTTAATATAACAACACCGGTCTTGTGTTATATTAGTGTAAATAGAATTTTTCATTTCAGTTTTATTTATTTTCGTACCTCCTTCCTTTATATCTATATATATATATAGATATATGGAAAGTTATATAAGATACAAATTTATAACTGAAATGTTCTTTTTTTCTGTCGTTTTAGATGTTTGTATAAAGTATCGTTTGAGTGCTGTAAAATATGATCGATGTCATGCTACAGTGATTCGTCCACGAATATCCGATTTTTCGAACGATGAACCGAAAAGACAATTGAAAACATCAACACAAGTACAGCAACACGGTAAACCTGTTCAATGAAATGAAGATTATCGTTAGAGTTAAAGTAAAACGAATGAACAAAGATGTATAAAGCGTCACAATTGTAACAGTTAAAATTCGTTCGTGTGTGAGTAAGAAAGATTCTTTGTTGCTTTTTCAATTGTTCTGGTCTTTGTTTAGAACTTATTTTGCTGAAACTTTTGTCAAATATTTATTTTCACTATGATTTTCTTTTCCTTTTTGGCACATGATGCTCTAATCAAAAATAGTTTGTTTGTACATTTAAAAAGATCATGGGAACAAGTTTTTCTAGCAAATTTTTCTTTGTTAATTTAAATTTAGCTATTGTCCAATCATTTTACTCATAAAATATTGCGAGTTTGTTTTCGTGATATTTTCATGATAGTTCTTTTGATTTCTTTTCTACGTGACTTGTCTCTTGTAAAATGAATAGACTAGAACCGAGTGTGACTATTGTGTCTCTTTTTCTTGTTTGATCGATTGATTGTGATAAAACGCTCTAATTTTGCGATACAGACTATATAAAAAAGCTTTATGCAGTCTTTATTTGGAACTTTCTATTCGTAAAACGATGTTGACTAGCTACAAAGTCACAGTAGAAAAGTTAAAACTTTAGAATAAAAACATTGACGTCAAATAAGTTTAGCAACCCATCGTATTGCATTGATCATCATCCTTGTTATATTTTCATCGTCATTCCAATCAAATCCTGGTGCATAATGTGCAGCATGTGCTAGTTGCACTATACGTCCAACATCCTCATCAGCACGTGCAATAACACCAGCAGAAGCACCTAAGTCGTCTAAATCAATTGTGCTTATTAGCTGAATTTTACCAAACGGGAATGCAGCCAACCAACTATAAAACATTGGCTTAGATGTCGTAAACGAAGCTGGTAAACCACTCCAAAGCGGGTGGCCCGGCGTTGTTATATTAAACATCAATGCATCTTCGGCTGGACCAATAATAACTTCACCTAAAAGAATTGTCGATAGTACTTTCCATCCTCCACTCTGTGCGTTAAGGATTGTGAATTCTGTCATAACAATGCCTTTCTCTCGTAGTTGTACAGCATCTACAATTGATTGTTGTCCCTTTACAGGCATAACTGATTCGTCTCTACCAGGCATTAAAATGATTACATCAAAATCGGACGCATTTGGTTTCCCCTCATACGTTGAAATACCATTGGAAATATAGGTGACTGTGATGTTAATACGTTTCAAACGAACAATCAAGGTCCCAACAGATTAATCTGCTAAAATAATTCTGTTTATATTAACATTGTACGCTATTTTCTGCCAATCCAGCAGACAACCTTGTGGTTAATACGCTAACCAACCCTTTTAATCGATAAACAGAAAGTTTATCTAAATTAATTTTTTTCTTAAAGTTATCGTGAAACTACACTGATCGAAAGGAGATGCTGCCGTAGAACTAAACGTTATAGCAACTTTTTACTTCAGGAAAAACCGATAGAAGCAATTCTATACAACTTTCCTTCTATACAAAAGATTGACTGGAACGCTGCTTCTGCAGATAATGCTTCTATTAACTTACACATCACAAGTGTAGAAAACTAAAGAAATAAACAACTCTTTTAGTAGAATTATGAGTTTTGACAAAAAGATGGGTGCGTCCAAGGCCGGTGATTGAGTTAAAAATAACAGAAATAATTCAGTGAAGACACTCTCTATATATTTTTTCAAAAGAGAAAAGATATTCCAACTAGAGTCCTGCCGGTTTGAGATTTTTTGAACCGGACCCCGATCCGGTTTCGTAGATTTGAAACCCGTCCCGAACCCGCTCGAACCCGAAGTATTTTCCTTCTGGTGGAGTAGTGCTCTCTTTCATTTTAACATTAGTAAATTCTACTCGTAGATGTACAAAAATAAGATTCACGTGATCGGTTGTACGCCTAGTGCGAAACACCTGTCCGTTTTCCTTCTTTTCCATTTTTTTTATTTATTTAGAATTGTCTCTTATCTCCCCCTATATCAAACTAGAAGAATCGGGATCGAAAGCAAACTCGATCCCGATCCCGTTCACCTGAACTGGAACCAGGGCCGCAAATAGGAGCCGAACATTAGTGGGGTGTAAACCAAAATTTCTCTCTGAGGTAGTGTGAAATTGATAAAAAAAAATGCGAATCTTTTAAAACAGTCATAGTACGAAAGCCGAAAAATATTTTTCGGCAAACAAGCAAAAGAATTTAAAAACTATTTAGTGACAATTTTAGTGTTGACACACCGGAAGTTCAATTCTCCTGTCTTTCATTTTACCCCAATCACTAGCTAAAGCAGCTAAATCTAATTGATCTAGTTTATCTTTCTCGATGGCACATAACATTAAATGAAATAATCTTTCATTCGACATTGTTGTTTTACAAGTCCTTTGGCTTTATATCAAGGCTAATCATCAAGGGCAACTCAAATTGAGTATATTTTAAAGTTTCCAGCTTGTCTGAACCGATTTTGAGTGATTTATGAAGGCTCCCATTTAATTTATTAAATGCTAAGTAAAAAGTTATTTTTTTCTAAGTATTTTATTTTAATTTAAAATAAAACAATTGTGGATGGGATTAATCTTTT